CTTGGGGACAATTCAGGTTAGGAAAGCAGCCTGCAGAGGGGTGCGAGACCTGAACCTTCCCCCCCCCACACACACACACTACAACCGCAATCCAAATCAAGCCCATGCAAATCTGGAAATTAATCTCTATCCTGAAAATCCCAGTACACACCTAGTCAACAGTCCATGGCGTAGATCCAGCAGTAATTTCTGCATGGCAGACACAGAGGGTTGGGTCCAGTGCAGTGTGATTTTCTCACCTCCCAGTGCAATCCAAAATGTCCCCTGAAATGCTGATCCTGGGGGGTGGGACTTCTCCCAGGAACAGCATATGGGCAAGTTGGAGATCTGCAGTGGGAGGGGCAATCGGGAAAAATCAGCCTCCCTCCCTCCATAGAAGTCCTCCACTGGATCCAACTCCTTGTGCCTGTCATGCAGGCTTTACAAAGTGTGAATCACTCATCAGTTCTTACCCCCTCCTACGAGGGAGTTCATTAATCTTTCCAGGGTGGAATCTTGGCTATGATTTTTGTTGCCTCTTCTGGAATGACAAACTGGATCGAGCAGACAGCTCAGCTCCCCCCTCCCAGACACATGCTGTGATGAAGTCTTTATGCTTTTTCATTCTTGGCTGTGCAGCTGAGAAAGTAGTGTGCCTGTGCAGACAGTTCTTCCCAATTTGTATTATAGAGCTCGCCAGAAAGGATGCTGCATGTCATCATACATCCTTGCCTCTGCCCCATCCCTCACTCCCAGCCACAATAACCCATCACCCAGGGCTGCTGCAACACGGCCCGGCCGTACACAAACTCCCTTCTCTCATCTTATATGGCTCTGCTGGCACAGTGAGCAGCAAGTCTACTGTCTCTGGCTGTGGGAAGGGCTTGGCTAGCTTGGGCTAAGTGATGATGAGTCACAGAAGCAAAGGAGGAGGGAGATGGAGCTGGGGAAGATGAAAGACCCTGAAGTCTCCTGGGGGCCTGGGGAGCCAACGCTGGTTTGTAGCTCTAAATTGCTGACAAACTGCCGTGGGAAATGCTTCTGCCTGGCTCCTGGCAGAGCTACTCAGAAGGGTACAGCACACACACCAAGCTCCTGTCACCATTGCACAGATACACACAGGCTTGGGGAAAGGAGAGAGCAACTCCTCCTCGTGGTGGAGAATGCTCTTAGCCTGTGGTTCAGCGGATAGTGGACCTGCAAGTTCAGGAAGAACTTGTTAGAAAAGCTGAGACTGAACCGTCTGCAGGCTGGCATCTGCTTTCGAACTAGTTGCTCAGCCATTCCCATTGCCACGTTGAGCCTTCATTGCAAACATTCTCTTGTAGAACCAGCCCTGCCATGAAATAAAATGTGGTGTCAAGCTCAGGAGGTGACTTTTGGATGTCATTTCCCAGCACACAGTATTCTCCCCCTGGGAAGATACAGTCCCCTGACCCAGTGCATCCACTGCAGGTGGGAGAGGTTATGTGAACTGTGGCTGCTATGGGCTAGTGCTGATGAGGTCACTAGTGATAAGAGGCATGTTTTCATTACCTCCTCCCCTCCCAGTCTGCACTACTTCGAGATTTTTTGAAACATTTAGGCTGCGGTTACATGCAATGTTCCCTCTAAGCTGTGGAGTCTTGTGAGCAAAAATTCTACTTTGTGAGCTACTGGCATGAAAGTTGTGAGTGAGCGATTTGGCTACTGCATTTAATTGGTTTGCTCCGGACCGGAGGCATCCTCTATGAGCTAAGACAAAAATGTGTGAGCCGGAGGCTAAAAAACTGTGAGCTAGCTCACACTAACTCAGCTTTGAGGGAACACTGGTCACATGCGCCAGTTGAAGTGGAGGGGAAATGAGGCTATTCCCTCTGGAGGAATTTGACATGCGGTTGTGAGATCACACAGCCCTTTGAAGCTGTGGGTGCAGAACGTCACTTTTTGATCAGACACAACTGTGGGTGAGCCATTTTTTGTTGTTGTTGCTTGTTTCCCTTGCACATAAACAAGGAATTGCACCTCTACACTGAGGGCCCCCTATGGAGTATGCGATGATGCACATACTGCGCGCGGGGGGGGTGGGCATCCCGACAGCATGAGAGTGTGCTTGAGCGATAAGACAGGGGAAAGTCTACCCGTGGCCCGTTTCTCTGGTGTCTTTTAACTCTGCTTCCGTGGCGGAGCAGCACGGGTTGCCAACGACTGTGGGACACTTCCCAGATGTTGCTGTCTGATCGCTCCCTTTCGATCCGTCAGGCATTCGCACCTATGTCAGATCTCAGATCTAAAGGAGCGTGTGATCACAGCCTTAGTGTGTTATTCATTTGAGAGATTTTTGTGCTGCTTCTCCAAAGGCCTGCTCGGGACAGCTCATTCCAGTAGCGGCCATAATGCCTTTTTTTTTTTTTTTAATTGAGGAAGGAAGAAAGACTGAACAAGATGCATTCTTCTCCCACAACGGTCCTGCAACATTTGGTTGGTTTATTCCTTTAAAAAAAAAACACGGCAGTTTTTGGACGCGCAGTCTCCTTCTCTGATGCTGGAGTGTGCAGCTTCCCTTTTTAATCAAAACAGTAAACGCACACATAACACACCCCAGCTTAGTGGTCATCACAACACAATCACTTTTGTGGTAAAGCCGTTCTCACTATCTGAGTGACAGGATATTGCCTTTTTTACATTGAATTCCAGCTAGCACTACTTTAGAGTAGTAGAGGTTAAACCATGACGAAATCTGGGATACTTTTCTGAGGACGGGGCTTAGTGGATGCTTGAGCGCCCTCTAGAGAACTGCCAGGGACATGTGCTCATAGGTATTCCCTTAGCTGAAAGGTATGCCTGAAGTAAAAGAATCTTAAGAGATATGCAGATGTCACTACTGCTAGAGTTGTGTCTTATATCCAACCTTTGGATGGAATTTTCAACACTGGCTTGTTTGGGGACTACACAGAAAAAGAGGAAACCAGACTACCCAGTCCCTGACATGGAGCCATTTTCCACAAGATCCCTTCACTTTGTGGAAAGTCATTCCATCTTCCCACCTCTTGGGAAAAGAGCTTTCAGCTGGGGGCAAGCAGTGCTGTGAAGGGAGGACACGGACCTGGAGTGCTGCAGTTTTCTAGCCAGATTCAGCATCTGATTCAAGCAAAATCGTGCAGTGATCCAACACAGAGCAGGCCATTTATTCTGTGGGTTGCCATCCAAAAACAGCTTCACTTTCAATCTTCCCTGACACCCAGGAGGGAGAGTGCAGGGCCCGGGGCTCTTGCTATGTGGAGACACTTCATCTAGGAATGGAAGCTGTCAAATCTCTGGCACCAGGATAATCTAATGGCTTTTAGCTGCTTTAGTGGGCAGGCAGAGAGACTTCTGGCTGCTTCACCTGTCCAGGGAACTCCATCTAGCAAAGCAGAAGTCTTCCTATTCTCTTCACGTATGAACAAGCACTTTCAGAATGCCTGGGAGGACCTTTCTTAATCCATTGCCTTCTTTCCATTTTCTGCTGCTGCAGAAGGACCTCCTGGTCCTTAAACAGGGAGATAGTAGGCAAAACTCTGGAATACCCCTTCTGAAGTTTCACCTGGGGCCTACTCTATGACATGCAAGGTGCCAGGTCCAGGGCCGGCTTGCTCACTAGGCGAACTAGGCGTCCGCCTAGAGCACACCAGCCCTTAGGGGCGCCAAACTGCACCCCCCCCCCGCCAAAAGCCCTGCATTTCCGCAGCCAGGTGACCGCCGCCTCTGCCACCCGCTGCCTCTTTGGCCAACTAACTTCTCCCTGCCTGCCCCCTTGGCTTCCCAGCAGAGCGCTTCTCCTCCTCCTCCTCTTCCTCGCGGCCGGGGACTGGCAGCTGCAGCAAGAGCAGCAGCAGCAGGGCCGGGGGAGCAACGGGTTGTGAGCGCCCCGCCGGTCAGCCTCTTCTCTGGGCACCCTGATGAGGGGTGCCAAACTGCACCCGCCCCGCCAAAAGCCCCCCCCCACTGGCTCTGACCGGGTGGGCACACGGGGGGGGGCACCAGAAGGGATCCTCGCCTAGGTTGCAAAATAAGCTGGGGCCGGCCCTGGCCAGGTCAAAACATTCTCATTTGCCCAGACATGTAAATTAACTCGTTTTGCCATTTTTGTGGTATTTTACCACTTAGTATGTTTTTCATGGCATGCATTTTATGAGTGGGGTTTTATGATGGCTGATTTGTTTTTACATACAGTTCATGGTGCTGAGCTCTGGACTATGGGGAGGTGGATCCTACCAGCTTATCTGCAGGTTAAGGGGGGGGGGTCTTTTGACCAGCAAAAAAGCTATGACAGTGCCACTTCCAATGTATATGAAAACCACATGTCCTGGGTGCTGCAGTGAGGAAGAAAATTGGACAAGATCAAGTGGAGAGGCTGGTAGGATCCAACCCTGGATCTTTGATTTTGCATGGGTTTGTTTTATAAGGTTGTCTGGTTTAACTTTAACCATTTTGTTTGTTTTGTGCAGTGGAAATACGGCATATAAATCTACCAAACACATAAATAAAACTATAGAATACATAACTGAATTTGGGCACAGGTGGACTCACAGCAACACATGGGTCCTGGGTGCAGCCACTAGTGGGTTAATGTAGCCACACTGCACATGATGTGATATAGGAAGTAGACAAGAGAGGAGGGCACCAGCTGCCAGCATCTAAGGGTTGTGTGTCTGTGATACTTCTATTATCACTAACATCATTGGTCACCTTGGGCTGAGATTTAGGGAGGAAATTCCACTGAATTACTTCCTCAGTACCTTCAGCTTTTATAATATTCAGTTAAAAACCATTTCCCCTCATTATATTAAAAAAGCATTAATGAATTGCAGACTCGACTCTTGCAAAGTGGAGCTGTGTGATCACTCTTTCCCTCTCCCTATCACTTTTGAGGTTCAGGTGAATAGGGAAGTTCAGCAGAGTGAGCACAATTGCAGGGTAAACCTTTCAGAAGGCAGTGAGCTGTTCTGAGGAGTCATGATCTTTCCCATTGATTGTAGTTTCTGTAATGTCGCATGCAGGGGCCACTAAAGACATGGGTAAAATGCTGGGGGGTGAAGAGGAGAAAGACCCTGATGCCCAGAAGAAGGAAGAAGAACGACAAGAAGCCCTGCGCCAGCAAGAGGAGGAACGCAAGGCAAAGCATGCCCGCATGGAGGCTGAACGGGAAAAGGTCCGGCAGCAAATCCGTGATAAGGTCAGTAATCTGTCTACAGCTATCTGGTAAAAAGAATATAACGAAGGTTTGCGGAGGGGGGAGGGACCAGTTTAGCCTAAATGGCAAGTATAGAATTGATGGAGGGAAACTGAGCCTGTGGAGAATCTAAGAAGATTCTGCTGCCAGAGCCAGTCCAAGCTCTGTAATGATGGTTACAAACCAGACCCCTGTTGGCCTCTGTCAACAGTATTAGCTTCCATTACTAAAGGACAAAACTCCTTTTTTGAGAATTAACTAGTCTGTCCTACTTGTTATGTGTAATGGTTGTCTGACACTTACTCTACTACTAATCTCTTCAGGGCTACATAGAGCTTCTTCTCTAGTGGAATATTTACTTATTTAAAATATTTATTATATGTCTTTCTTCCTTATGGAGTCCAAGGCAGCTTACAGTATATAGAGGCTGTAACACCAATTGGGAACAGTGACCACAATGCTATTAAGTTCAGCATTAGGTCAGTGGAAAGTTTTGTTCAAAAATTTCAAAACTGTAACATTTGATTTCAAAAGAGGGGATTTTAGCCCAGGCTATCCAGATCTCATTCAATCTCAGAAGCTAAGCAGGGCCGACTCTGGCAAGTACTTGGATGGAAGACCTCCTTGGAATATTAGAGATGGGAGACCTTAAATATCCTCCATGCCCCCAATAGGGGTCAGTCGCCAGAGGTCACCATGACTTCCAGGTGCGTGTGTGTGCACACGTGCGCACACACATGCACACACATAAAAATACAAAAATACCAAAAAAGAAAGGGGGGGACTTTACAAAAACAAGAGGAATAGTAAAAAGGAAGCTGAAGGGATCATATTCCTAGAGGATGCCTGAAAGCTATATAAAACCACACTAGTTGAAGCCCCAATAGAATGCATTCCACAGGTTAGGAAAGATACTGCCAAGTCGAAAAGAAGGCCTGTGTGGTTAACAACGCAAGTCAAGGAAGCTATAAAAAGTAAAGAAGCTTCTTTTTAAATGTGGACGGTCTGCCCCAATGAATTGAACAAGAGGGACCACAGGCTCTGGCAAAAGAAATATAAGTGAATAATTAGGCATGCAAAAAGAGATTTTGAGGAGCAGGTTACTAAAAGCATCAATAAACATTTTTCAAAATATATCTGGAGCGGGAAACCAGCCAGAGAAGCAGTACTGCCTTTGGATGACAAAGGAATAAACAGATTGCTTAAGTAAGATAGGGAGATGGCAGAGAAGCTCAATGACCTTTTTGCTTCTGTGTTCACTGTGGAAAGTGTGGGGTACATACCCATCCCACAGCCCCTATTTTCAGGAAGGGAGTCTGAAGAACTAAGCCAAATTGAGATGACCAGAGATGACGTTCTACACCTACTGGGGAAATTAAAAACTGATCAGTCTCCAGGTCCTGATGGCATGCACCTGAGAGTTCTTAAAGAACTCAGATGTGAGATAGGTTACATATATGGGTTTGTAGATCAACTATCACTAAATTCAGCTGCTGTACCAGAAGACTGGAGAGTAGCAACTGTTACATCAATTTTTAAAAAGGGATCCAGAGGAGAACCAGGAAATTACAGGCCAGTCATCCTAACGTCTGTCCCAGGCAAATTAGTAGAAACTATAATCAAATATAGAATTGTTAGGAACATAGAGGGACAAAGCTTGCTGAGGGAAAATCAACATGGCTTCTGCAAAGGGAAGTCCTGCCTCACCAGCCTTTTGGAGTTCAAGAAAGTGAACAAGCATGTAGACAATGGTGACCTGGTAGACATTATATACCTGGACTTTCAAAAGGGTTTTGACAGGAGTCGTCAAAGACTCCTGAGTAAACTTAGCAGTCACAGGACAAGAGGACATGTTCTCTTATGGATTAAAAAAGTGGTTTTAAAAAGCCGGAATCAATGGACAGTTCTCACAATGGAGGGAAATAAGCAGTGAGGTCCCACAAGGATCGGTATTAGGTAATATTTAATTTATTCATCAGTGATCTGGAACTAGGGGTAAGTAGTGTAGGGGCCAGGTTTGCAGATGACACCAAATTATTCAGGATGGTGAAAACCATTGCTGACTGAAGAGCTCTAAGAGGACCTCCACAAACTGGGTGAGCCGGCGACAATGTGGCAAATAAGTTCTATGTTGGTAAGTGTGAGGTGATGCCCATTGGGACAAAAAAATCCCAACTTCTAGTATAAGCTAATGGGATCTGAACCTGCTGAGACTGAAAAGAGAAAAGATCTGGGGGTTGTAGTGAATGGCTCAGTGAAGTGAATAACTCAATGAAAGTGTCAACCTAGTGTCCTGCAGCGGTGAAAAAGGCAAACTTAATGTTAGGGATTATTAGGAAAGTGGCTGAGAATGAAACAGCCAGTATTGTAATGCCCTGTATAGATCTATGGTGTGGCGTCATTTGGAATACTGTGTACAGTTCTGGTCACCATATCTCTAAAAGGACATTGCAGAGCTGGAAAAGGTACAGAGGAGGGCAACCAAGATGATTAGGGGGTTGGAGCACCTTCCCTGTGAGGAAAGGCTAAAGAGTTTAAGACTATTCAGTTTAGAAAAGAGATGACTAAGGTGGGACATGCTAGAGGGTTATAAAATTATGCATGGGATGGAGAGAGTTGACAAAGAGAAATTTTTCTCCCTCTCCCAAAATACTAGAACTCGGGGGCATCCAATGAAGCTGATGGGCAGTAGGTTCAGGACAGACAAAAGGAAATGCTACTTTACACAGAGAGTGATTGAAATGTGGAATTTGCTGCCAGAGGATGTAGTGATGGCCACAGGAATAAACAGCTTTAAAAGGGGATTAGATTCATGGAGGAGAAGTCTATCAATGTCTACTAGCCATGGTGACTGAGGGGAACCTCCAGATTCAGAGGCACTAAGCCTCTGAATCCCAGAGCCAGGAGACATCATCAGGGGAAGGCCTCAGCCTCTGTGCCCTGTTGGCCATCCAGAGGAACTGGTTGGCCACTGTGTGAGACAGGATGCTGGGCTAGATGAACTATAGGTCTAATCCAGCAGGGCTCTTCATATGTTCTTATTAATAAAATACATTAAAACATTTAAAAAACCCAAAATTTTAAATCACCATTTAGGACATTTAATTAAATGCAGGCCTAAATAAAACAGTCTTCAGCTGCCTCCTAAATATTGAAAGTGAGGGGGGCACGTGACCCTCCCAGGAGTGGTTGTTCCAAAATCATGGGGCTGCCACTAAAAAGGCCCTTTTTCATGTAACCATCAAATGAGCTCCTTTGTTTGATTGGACAATCCCTTTTAACTCCCGGGCAAGAAACCTGGGTTGCCCTTTCATTTGCCTTCTGACACATGTTGAGGTCAGTGGGAATCTATACTGTTGGATCCAGCTTTGAAAATTAACTAACCAGGGGTCGTTTCATAGAAAAAGAGCTAGAGGAACTCATTAGCATAACTCATTAGCATATGCCCCACCCCCTGACATCACTGGAAGTGTGTCATAAGGCCACACACCCCGCCCCCAACGGTCTCGGCCGGCGGCGGCAGCCTTGCAACTCAACTGCCGAGCCCCATGAGGGGCCCGGCGGTGGACCTCCAAGGCCGGCGGGAGTGCTAGGAAGCCCCGCGAAGGCCCTCCCTGGCCCCAGGCAGGCAGGGGTGGGGAGAGGCAGGGAGGAAGCAACGTACCCTCCCTCTTCTCCTGCCTCCTCCTGGCTGAATGAGGGCCGGAAGCGGGGCGGCCGGAAGCAGGGGGCGGGGCTTCGTCATGTGCCCCGCCCCCGTACCTCACCTGGGGAAACTGCAATCCCCCGCGTTCCCCCCCGAAATGACCTCTGTAACTAACTCTTATATGCCTGCAACTAGTGAGAAGACAGTTTTTAAAAAAACATTTTCTTTTTGAATTTCAAGTGAACTGATTTTCTAAGAATAAATGTATTTGTATTAATTATATTCTAAATTAGGGGTCCTCAACCTTTTTGACCTTGGGGGCACCTTTGGAATTCTGACACAGTTTGGTAGGCACAGTTATAACATGGTTGTCACAAGATGCGAAGCCACCCACAAAACGGCTGCTGTAGCTGATCAACAGTCACACAGTGATGATCTTTGTGCTGTGCTGGAAGCTGCTGCCAAAGTAACATTTTTAAAAATCCACACAGCCAATCAAATTCCCAAAGGCCAGTCAGATGCCTTGCTGGGCAAGGACCTCACCTAGCTCCATCCACTTCCTAAGAGCATGTGGGCAGGCATTAGGAAAGATGGCAGTGGGTGCCATGGCACCTACGGGTACTACTTTGGGGACCCCTGCTCTAAACTGTTTCTGGATTTGAACTTCTGTGCCAAAATGCTTTGTTGTACTACACAGGTCAATGGGTATGTTGTTTTATAGGAATCACTGAGGCAGCTCCAATGCCTAAAGAGCTAGAAGGAAAATTTGAAAGCCTAATAGGCGTAATGGCAAATGATTACTACCATTCTTGTGATTTTTGAATTTTAACAGGGAAACGACTGAGGGTGCAAGTCTAGGAGGTTAGTAAAAAAAAATATCTTGCTCGGCTCCTGGTTCCCTGCAGGAACTGTGGACAGAGACCCAGATGTTTGCTTCCCCTGTCTTTTCCCACTGCATTCCATGTTTCATCTCAGCCTTTCCCTTTTACCAAGAGGATTTGTCAATCACTCAACCACAGAGCAGTGCTCCAGTCCTAGCCAGATGTTTAGGGAAGGAAACAAGTGTCTCTGGCTGTATAGTTTCCTCTCCACCCACTCACATATCCTGTATTTGCCTTCTACAGATTCAGTACCTTGGGCAGTTGTCCACAGTGTCCTGTGAACAGGAAGTCTTTTCTTCCAAAACTCAAAGATTCATTTCCCTTGCCTTCTTTAGTAATGGAACAACATTTAAGCGGCAAAGGAATAGTCCCATGATCCCATGAACACTGACTGTGTCCCACCAAAGTATCACTGCCTTTACTCCTCTTCATAACTTGTTGATGTGAAACATGGATTCATTCACCCAATTATTTTT